GTTTCATTCCCCAAGTTTAGATTCTGTTTTTAAATAAATCTTTATGAATTCTAAGGTACAAGTTTCTTCTTGTTTGGATAAACAACCTTCTGTTTGCCTTTGATAAGAATCTCAAAGACAGACCTGATCATAAATATCTGATCTAACAGGTAAAACTGACACTTATTTAGTGTTTGATAGTGAGGAGATTCATAACTGCACCATTTCACCATTTCTTTAAATGACAACTTTAGAATAACGTATATATTTGATTATTATTATTTTTTTGAATCAGGTCTTTTGCTACTCATTCATCATTTTATTTTCCATTTCCAAACCAATTTTCATGTCTTTCAGCAGAATTTCAGCAGCAACCCTGAAAGTCAACCAGCGGTGTTTTTCCCCCCGATAATTTTACACTTCACTGAATTCAAATCAAAGCACAGGTTTATGATATTAAAAACACTGTATTTGTGCAAGACTATGCACATTTAATTTCATGAAATCACTCCTGGTGGCCTTTCAAATGAGGCTGTTTCACCTACAGAAAAACTCGTCTTTTTAAAGGCAAATGCTTGTGGCGCACAAACAGTTCGTCCTATTGGATGGCACTCAGAAAGGTGGTGACTAATCAGGGTTCTCCACAGGAAGTCTTTGTCGTCCCACAGGAATTTAGCCTCTGAGGGTTTGTTTCATTAAGAGCTTGGTAGCATCAGAAAGACACTTGTTTTCCCCTCAAGGATTTTTAAACTGAGATGGAAATGAGCTGAAACAAGGACAAAAGTCTTAGCAATATGTGTGTATCTGTAACAGATGTTTTGTGTTTTAGGCCTGTGTGACCTGCTGTTGTAATCTGTGGAGGTTAAATGGATTCAAAGTAAAGAAACAGCTCAAAGAGCTGCCCTGTAACTACTCGGCATTGGGAAGCAAGTTGCAAGATAGGCTCAAAATGTTAAAATTTGAGGGGCGTTATGATATATTTGCCTCCGTTTTCTTGTTTCTTCCTTGTGCCATGTTTTAAACATACACACGTTTGTTTGATTATCATTATGAGGGCATTCATTGACACAATTTCCTAGTGCCTTATCTTGAAGTTAACTATCACAAATAAGTGCTGCTCCCATCCTCTATCCTAACTCTAATATAAAACTAATTCAAGAATAAACTAAAAACAAGTCTTCATCTTCAACCACTGCTTTAAAGCGGGTGTGGGAAAGTGAGGATAGGCCAAAATACCCTCACTCTGATGATTTAAGACTCAAACCAGCCCTCATAAAGACAGTTCTACTACTATAATCCGCACACACATGAGTTGTATATCCATTAATTCAGAGAACATTATGTTATGACTTGCTTTTATCCCCATAAGGAAAACACATCCTCATAAAGTTAAGAGTCAGCAAAACAAGAGCGGTACCTTGACCGCACACGTGTAAGTCGCACAGTGTTATTCCTGTGGACATCATCACGTACAGTGTCTTCAAGCGCCACACGGTCAGTGACCTTATGCTTATTAAAAGGGGAGGAGGAGGAGGACTGACTCATTATCTCTTCCATCTGTGATATTTCTGCTTTAATGTTTTTCTTCTTTTATGGCAGATGCTCCAGATAATTTCTAAATGGAAATAAACATATTGCTTTGGAATTAGTAGAGAGATGATTAAACTGAGGAATGTAGTAACTGGCGTCAAGGAAGCTTTTACAGTAAGAGATGGTGAGGCACCATATTGAGCTATCTATGTACAGGTGGGAGCAATAATATGAAGCACACTGTTGCAGTATCTTGTAACGGCTCAACAAGACCCCCTCTGCTGCTCCGACCTTTAGATTGAGACCACATAAGTTTGCTGGCAGGATAAAATAATAATATATATAGATTTTTTTGATTTAACCCACAGCTGTCACTGTAGCCCCCCCAAATCTACCTCAGTCACTGCCGACCATTTGCATTCCTGCAGAGAGAGAAATTGTTGTGCAGTATATTTAAAAAAAAACGTTCAGTTAAATTTACGTGTGCTTGTTTTGTAAGATAGATTACATAAATAACATTAATGTTGACCCTAACTGGAGGGGCGGATGTTAGGCTATAAAATAATAGTGGATGTTTTTCACCCAGTATTGCCTATCTAACCCATTTCCTCTGCATTTACCTGTATGTTACCCAGATCACAGAGAATGGTTTGTTGTATATGCAGTGTGTTCTCAGTCCAAGGGGGTCGCATGTTGCATTTGTTCTTTGGAGTCTTTGCCCTGACTTACAGGTTTATGGCTCCCATTTTTCATTTTACAATGTGCAGGGTTACTGATATTAAAGAATACTGCTATAAAGCAAAATGTAGCCAAAACTCTGATTGGTTAAACCTAACCAATCAGAGTTTAGTGCCTAAACCATCCATCCATCCATCCATTTACGTCCGATTATCCAGTTCAGGGTCACGGTCCATTCATCGATCTATCTTCCTAACTGCTTATCCAATTCAAGGTTGTGGGAAGCTGGAGCCTATCCCGGCTGTCATAGGGCGAGAGGCGGGGTAACAGCAAAGTAAGGTGCAAAACGCAAAGCTCCAAAGCTCCAAGCAGCATGGGAACCACAATGCCCTGATGGATAAACAGTGACTTACCTCTTAAGCTGACCTTTGCAGGACTCAGCTGGACCCAGACAGCATCTGACAAAAGGATATTATTTGATGTGCTGGCATGAGAGCGCATTGACCTTTTTTTAAAAAAAAAAAAAAAAACCCAACAACAACAACAATGTATTTTTACAAAAATCTTTTAGTGCAACAGATTGCAGCAATACACACAAATTCATGCACTTTAAGTTTACAGTTTCATGCCACTCTGCTGCTTTCGTCCCTGCACTCTCTACCATCCAACACTTAGCTTACATCGACGCTTTACCCCCTTATTTGTTGGGCTCCCAAAAAACATCACAGTGAAAAATTAGGACACCGATAAAAAGAAGAATGTCTGAGTCGGAGCGTGGATGGATAGTTGCTCATTTTCAAACGTCTTCTGTGTGATGTATTAAAAGATATTTTTGGTAAATGCCATCAGTGGAAATAAGTATGTTTTTTTTGTTTTGTTTTAGCTAGAAAGTAAAATGAGTCACTGCTCTTTTAAAAGAAAGTGTAATTTGTTTCACATACACGATGAGCCTTTTTCATGTAAGAGACACTAACTTAGCACAGCTTACTCCTCTCAGTGTACTAAACATCTCTCCCCCTGCCTTGTTTTGTACCTCTAGGCGTTATCAAGTCTGCATCCTGAATGTGAATACATTTTTCAGCTGGAGAAAGAAGAGCGTCACTGCCTTCAGTACATTGCAGAACAGGAGAACAGAAGCACAGAAGGTGTGTTTTTCCTTTTTGAAATCAAACCATCCTGTTCTCATCATTGCAACTGCTCATATGAATTCATGGGTGGTTGCAGTTGTGTTATGAAATATAGTAATGCTCACATTAAGTGCAGGGGTCTGAGCTGGAATAGAAGCTTCGCAGAAAACCATCCATTATCGGGAAATATTCTTGTTGGCGTTCTAACTGCAGAATGAAAACAAACTAGGTGATATATCACTTTGATGCATCAGTAAATGAGACCAATGAGGATAGCAACATAAGGATTTATGTATGTAATCTATCACAAGATAAGGCTCTCGCTTGGGGAGCTACAGTATTTTTTTTTTGTCCTTATGAAATGCACAAGGAGGTGGGCGCTAGGCCGTTGAAGATTGCAATTGGAAGCAAGCTCATGATTTACACCACTTGCTTTTACACTATCTATATATTTTTAACTGTGTATTTCAGATATGATTTATGGAATCTCACTCTCTTTCCTTCTGATTCAGCACTCTGATACTCACCTTTTCTAACCTTCTTTCTCCTCCTAAACCTTTGTCGAAAAGGTTGTTGGCCCTTCTGGGATGCGGTCACCTGCTGGCCTCATGCAGTTGTTGGGGAGACTGTGCACAGAGCTTGTCCTGCAGTCTTCTCCCTCTTCAGAAATAGCACAGGTGACTGCCAGATCAGGGGGTTAATAGCAAAAGATGGGGAATTTTTTTTTTTTTTTACCTCTATTAAACTTATTTTCAGCTCACCAATTTCTTGAATGATTTTTAAATTTGACTGATTTCACCAGATTAGCTTTAACTAGGCTTCAACAGAACTACGCACGTATCAGCATATGGTCAAATGAAACTGCGATACAATAATGCAGATGTTTGTATTGCAGTTTTGGTGTTGGTTTTCAGAATTGTCATGCTCCTGATTACCACTACACACAAGCTACAGTTGAGAATGTCAGTTTTGCAGATGAAGTCTAGATGATGAGTCAGGGGGGTCAGCACTAAAGTAGGAAATTTTATGACAATCCACGAGAACTTTTTCTGACATTTCAGTCTGCATCAAAATATCACGCATAAATATGTAACTCTGATTATTACGAAAGTCAGTCTCAGCATTGCACAACTGACTCTTGATCTCACATCTTTCGTCTTTAGGGTCAGTGAGCCGAAACTGCACAAGTGGAGGTTGGTCGAGGCTGTTCCCAACATACCATGTTGCCTGCAATGTGGATGATGACATTCCCGAGGTGAGAGTTGCTGAAGCGAGGCAGCTAGGGATGTCAGACTGAGGAATGTGAGACTAGATTGGGAGCACAGAGGTCAGGCAGAAAATTAGAAACAGGAGGAGAAGCACCAGGAACAAAGAGGCAACCAGAAGGATGTCAACAGAAGGACAGAAATGCACCTGTTCCAATTGTGGAAATAAACCAAAAAAAAGCTAGCAAAATTATTAACATATTCCATGTTTCAGGACACATTTGGGACTGTAGTTGAACTGCTGTGCATGTTCCTATTTTCGCTTCTTTGAGATTCAGGTACAGCTAACACATGATGGTTGGCTGCCTGTCAAGAGATAAAAAATCATACAAATATAAACACTTTTGCAGAATGAGTGGATCTAATTTGACCCGTTGCATAATAGCTCACATTATCTGGAGTCACAAAGAGAGCATGAAGTCTTTTCTTCTGGAAAGATTCCATATTTGATGCTAAAAAGAGCATCTTTTTATTATTATTATTATTGTTATTTTAAAAAGCTGTCTTAAATGTTCCAAATAGGTGAAGTAGAACATTAGTAATAAAATGTGACAGTGATGTAATTAAGTAGCTTTTTTCATAGTAGATTTAGCTATGTGCTTAGCCCACTCTCTTTCTGCCATTCAGCTAAGACACAAAATATGGAAAGCTTTCTTGCAGTTATTCCACAGTCATCTCCTCAGTGCAGTTTACTCTCAATCTTGCCTGTAATTTGGACTCATTTTAAGACATTACATTCATTTTAATGCCTGACATCATTTTGAAAAGCTTTGATATTTGAGTATAATTTCCTTTCATTCAAAATCTTCATTTCCATCCTGCTTCCAGACGGAGGAGTCTTACTTTGCCTCAGTGAAGCTCATATACACCATTGGCTACAGCATCTCTCTAGTGGTGTTGGCTGTTGCTGTGTTGATCCTGCTACTCTTCAGGTATAAACCGAAAATACTGATTTTTATTACGCTTTTTGTCAGTAAAAAGCACATTTTGGGTGACATAAGCAATGGAAATAACAGATGAACTGCTTTACAAAGGATCCAACTCAGAGGTGGGGGCTCACAGAACAATAAAGTGGGATTGCTGATGAGTTCGAGGCACTCTCTTTAAGTCTGGGTTTATGAAAAACTTACCAGTGCCTGATACTCATCGACACTCACACAGCACATGGCAGTTTTGCAACTCTGCCACATCTTTGTGTCCTGATTTGGAATTACATCTGATGGAATGTGTAAGAGATAAGGGAGTTGGGAAATTTACTCTTTGTAGGATTTAGATTACACAGCTGATAACACTGTGATGTCTGTACAGTACACGTGGTGCCATAAAAGGCTCGTGTTGAAAACTGGAAACAGATGAAATAACCTTCCTGGCTCTTTCCACATTTAAATAAGCCCACCGACCAACACCTACCTGTTTTGTAGGCCTGACACGTCCCTTAGTCTCCTCACCAAGTAACCAAATGCCAAGACGGCGTTTTGAAAACTTATGCACCACTTCTGTGGGTTACAGTTTGTTTTTTCCTCTTTCCAGCTGATTGTTTATGAATCGAATCTGATTGCCAGTAAATTGCTTCACGAACAAGATCACTTGGATCAGTTACATCTGTCTCTCTTTTTTATTTTTGTTCTCTGCCACTCACATTTTTCTTTGTTCACTGATCTAAACTATGAACTAAAACCACAGACTGTGCCAGTTTGCACAGTTGTAGCAATGTGATGTTTTTGCATTTGCTGTTCATGATACTGTACAATGCAAAATCTCGTATTGGTTATAAATGTATTCCTGCTCTTTTACAGGAAACTGCGTTGTGCCAGGAACTTTATTCACATCCAGCTCTTTCTTACGTTCATCCTGAAAGCTGTGGCGGTGTTTATAAAGGATGCTACTCTGTTCTCAAGCGACGACACCAACCACTGCACCCTTTCCACAGTAAGATAATGATGCTCGGGACAAGTGCTTCTTGTTTGTATTAAGAAATTCCTCTGGGCGCATTTCCCTGATCTCATATATTTATGCATAATCACATATTGCTTATGCACGACTTACCGTACTAATTCCTCCTTACACTTTGCTCTCTGTCCTTTCCCCTCTTCTTGTCCTTTCTGCTCAGTTTGCCTGTAAAGCCTCTGTGGTCTTCTGTCACTACTGTGTAATGGCAAACTTTTTTTGGCTCCTGGTGGAGGCACTTTACCTCAGTTCCCTGCTGCTCTCCTCTTTCTATCATAGCCGCCGATGCCTGTGGGGCTTCAGCTTGCTGGGATGGGGTGAGGACCTTGACATACAATTTCCCCAACATTTGCTACGTTGAGCTGCCTACCAAATTAAAGAACATGGCCCTACTTTGCAATATCTCAGATTTAACAATAGTGAGAAGACATGTATGATAACATTAGAATTTTCCAAAAATTACAGTTTTATAACTCATCTTTTTTAGAGATACTGTAATACACTTTAGAGAAAGAATCGGGTTAAAAAAAGTTTTACAATACTGTGAAAAGTCTTGAGCAATAAGTCTTCAAAAGGCTTGAAGATACCAAATATTACCTTTCGAGCTTGTTAGAACTCAGATTTTGCCTGAATTTCCTTTTGTTCCATTTGTGTTTGCATGTTTCAGTAAATTACTCCACCTGTTTGTACTGTTGTGTGTTTTTAAATGAAGAAAATACATGAATACAAACAGGAATCTGAAAAAAAATCCCTGTTTTTTGTTGTTCTTTTTGGATTGAACAAATACTGGCAGTGGGGATTTTCAGTTTTTAACTCCATCAAACTTGCAGGTAGTTTGGAGCATTTATTTCATTTTGGAAAACTTCTGCCTCGTGCTGTCATTTCTTTCTGTTAACATTAATATAGCATAGCAAATACCAAAATAACATTTTTACCTTTTACTTTCCCATTGGGATTTTATTTGGATCACACCTAAAGTGTTTATTAGCACTTAGTCATCCTCAGAATTGAAGGAGTAATTTGAAGCCATTTCCAGCCTACTAATAAAAGTTTCACAGCAGCCTTCGAGGTCAAAAAGAACCAGAAACGGTAACATCAGCCAACATGTGCATATTATTATAACAGCTAAAAGTTTCCTGGTTTAGTGCATGTGCAGCATTGAACTATATTAACCTCCTAATACCTGGCGCCCACATATGTGGACTATTTTTGGGCTATTTAGACCAAAATACTGAATTTTGCTCTACAAGGGCCTGATATCCACTTACGAGGACATTATGCTGCTACTGTTCTATTGAAATTTTAAATGAATATCCTCATAAGTGGCTCTCATTTTTCTTAGAAACAAAAATTAGGAAAAAAAAAAATCCTGGTAATTCTTTGGGACCTGATGAATGTAAATACAATCAGCCCAAATATCAAAGAGAAATTAAAAATGCATGCTGTGGAAGAGTTCGGGTCTTAGGAAGTTAACGTTTATATTGATAATTTATTAGATCTGCTATAGATTGAATGTACCTGCCTCTCACACTACGAGATCTTGGATAGAATTATGTGGGTTCATTGTACTTACTGTAAGATCTACACTGTAGTGCACACAACCTTTAAAATAATTTACATTTTATTCCTTCTGCATGGTGCAGATATTAGGAAAATTGATACTCGTCCAATCAGTTCACACACTGGTAGCTTCCTAACTCTGATTCAGCCATTTTCGTGTGTAATGATCTCACTGACACTAGTTTTGATTTCTGTGACAGGTGTGCCGGTGCTCTTCATAGTCCTGTGGATTGGATCCAGGGTGTATTTTGAGGACACAGAGTTTGTATAAACTTGAATTACAGCTTCTGTAGCCACAATCATTATTATTTCTCATAAGCAGCAATAGGAACTAAGGTGAAATGCTAAATTGTGCTAAATTAATGAAAATGATGCATATAAACGCATTAGAGGGGAATGTGAACGTGCTGTACATAATATTGTGCATTTACATGGATAATTTGCACTCACTTTGTACTCAGCAGTAATTGTCAGGTGTTATTTTTAGGACGTGGATTAAATTTACTGCATGCGATGCTTGAAGAAATCTTCTAAAGTGCACGTTTCTTGCACAGATGTTGGGACATCAATGAGGACTCACCCTATTGGTGGATCATCAAGGGCCCGATTGTTGTCTCTATAGCGGTAAATGCCCCCATTCTTCTGAAACAAATAATAATGATGAATTTTTAATCATGCACTGATTAGAGATTATTACGTAGATGATTTGTTTACCTTCTTTTTAGAGACAGCCTCTGACGAAGGACTGGGTTGAACTTCTTTTGTGCCGTTAGAGTAGAGTGCAAAAATTGGCACCACACCAGTCTAAGTTAATTATACGCTTGGCTGCTCATGTTGTTGCCATGACATTCAATAATCACATTGCTGAAAGCAGCATTTGGTGTAATGCTGGTCGCAGTTTTTAAAATTTTTATTATTATTATCAGTATTGATTTTGCATTCTTGCTTTTTCTTTCAACAGGTCAATTTTATGCTCTTCATGAATATCATCAGAATTCTAATACAAAAGCTCAATCCACGTCTGATCCAGTTCAATAACTCCTCTCAGTACAGGTAATCCTTTAGGCGCAGACACAGTTGTAGACAAAGGGAACTCAGCCGTGACACAGAATCTCATATTTTAGTCATTATTGCATTTTGAACACAGAAACAATCAAATTCATCTCGTTTCTGATACACGGCGTGTTTATCTTCAATTGGTAAACGTTTTCAGACATTTTGAAATACTTTTCTTCACTCACTGCTACTTTTGTACTCTGATAGTTACCCTTTGATGCTGAGAACTTTGCAAGTTGTGCCAAAAAAAATAAAAACTATTGTAGGCCATGAATAATTCAGTAATTCTGGCCACGTCTGCAGTTCCGCTCACCAAGAGGCTCATTAGAATTTCTAATTGAAATAGACTCACTAATTGACTGAAAATGTTCAGGCACATCACGTAAATCCGGATCTCGTAAAAGAAATACCATAGGTACAGTAAGTTAAATGATGCTTGACTTAATTGCACCGGTTAAGTTCACATCTTCCCCGATACATAAAGACATTATCTCTGCAGCTACATTTCAATAGCCCTATTCGAAATCATGCCCCCGCTGCTTACCTTTCCTCTTGTAAAGAGAGGCTGCATACAGAACGACACACACAAAGACGAAGATCATCTTGATTGGCATCTGATCATTACTGTGTCTGCATGCATGATGATATCAGGTGCAGCATTCAAATGAGGTACGTACAAGCAGACTCTTTTTCCTTTGCTTTTCTGCAACAGGCGCCTGACTAAATCCACCCTCCTCCTCATCCCTTTGTTTGGAACTCACTACATGTTCTTCAATTTTCTGCCCGACTACTTCAATGTTAACCTGCGCCTTTGTATCGAGCTCTGTATGGGGTCCTTCCAGGTACACACATGGATTGCATCAACACTAATGGCACATACTGTACATGCTGTACACGCTTCAGCATCCTGTGATAATCCTTCATGTTAACTTGGCTTCCACTGTTTGAGCGTCATGGCTGTGAGTCAGCATCTCGACGACATTAGATCTTTGTGTTGCAGGCCTAGAATTGAATAGATCTGCTTCACTTTCTGTCCTTTTAGGCAGCATGTTCCATTTATTAATGAAATATGTCACTTATTATTATCATAAATATTAATGATTAAACCCATCTTTTTCACAGGGGCTTCTTGTGGCCATTCTGTATTGCTTTCTAAATCAAGAGGTCAGTACACAAACCACACTACTCTAAAGTGTTCAGAAAATTGCACACACAATTTACACACTGTGGTGCATAATTAGCCTTCACGTGAGACTCATACACATCAGCCACAATGCGCAAAACTGTCCCATGGCGTCTTAGAAGCATAGTATTATTGTTATTCTAGAAGCATGGGCCACACTTACCTCAAAGAGGCTCAGTTGTATTGAGATGAGGAATGTTTGGAGGCCAAGTCAGCACCTTGAAAACTCTCGTGTTCCTGAAACGATTCCTGAACAGTTTTTTGCACTGCGACGGAGCATTTTCACCGGCTGAAAGAGCCCAATGCCATCAGGGAATAGTGCTGCCATGGAGAAGTGTGACAGATGGTCTGCCACAATATTTAGGTATGTCATGCATGACAAAGGAACATGGGGAGTTTCCCAGCAGAACATTGCTTGCCTGTTTCTCACAATGTATCAGGCAGGCCATAGCTCATATATTCAGCAAGCTGTTATGCGCTATGTATCCACTGGACCCCTATCATACCCATCATTAAGATTTTGAGCAGTTTGTGCTAAAGTAGCTGCTGTGTGGCAAGGCTTTGCTCCCCAGGCGCTTCAGTGAGCATTTTAATATTGTGGCTAATCTGTATTCCAGCAGGAGGTAACTGGTTTAGAGTTGTCAGTGCGAAAAATGCAAAAAGTATTTTCCACTTCTCTTCCCAGCATTGGATAAGGAAAGGACCCAGCACGCTTATGTAACTGCAGGATTAATGTAAGGCCAGCCTCCAAAAAGCTGGGGGCCGAAGCAGACAGTGTACACTATATCAGCGGTCCCCAACCCCCGGGCCTCTGTGAGTCGTTTGGTACCGGGCCGCGAGAGTTGAGGCTCAGGTGTGAAATGTATAGTTTTCAGGGTTTTTATCAGTTTTCAGCGTTATTTTGTTATCGTTTTTATTGTTTACTCGGTCCATGAAAATATTGTCGGGCATAAACCGGTCCGTGGTGCAAAAAAGGTTGGGGACCGCTGCTCTATAGGACTCACATGCTTTAGAGACACGAGAAACACGTTAGAGAAAGGTCATGAGAATTATTTCATGTATTTCATGTACTATTTGTACGATTACCTATGCTTTAATTGTTTCAATGATACGCAGAATGAATGCGTTGATTCTCAGCAAGAAATATATAAATATATACATATATAAAACACTGTGTTTAGCTTTCATCTGTCAACAGTGAGGTGATTCTTGTTTCACTTTTAAAGCTTAAAAGAAATAGTCTGAGATTTTGCTAAATATAGATGTTTGTCTTCTACAACTTTTTTTTCCATTGGTTACTAAGAAAATTGATACAAGTTGCACCTCTGTTATATAAAACTACTGCAACCCTATCTTATCCTTGCACTAATTTAAAAACGTAATTTAATATTTTATTTCATTTAACTTTGTTTAGTTCTGCAAAAATGTAAGTGTAGAATAATTTTTACTCCAAGCAGTTTGGTCACCTGCCTCTCCTTGCCAGCAGTAGGTTGGCATATAACGCTCCATAATGATGCAAACTGCAATCAGACTTGTGTTTTGTTTTTTTTTTTGTTAATCATTAAACACATGGGATATAAAAAATGCTATAGGCAGGGTTTGCCAAGCTAGCTAGTCACTGTGGCTCAGCGATTGCTGGTTGTAGACACATATTTACCAGAATAAACAGATATCTTTATATGAATATGCAGAACCTGTAGGCACTGAACATGATTTCCATTTGTAGTGCACATGTCATCATAGCGTGCAAGTAAAACGCTTGATGGAGACTAAATGAGGGATTGCTTTTGCCAAAATGCACTCAAGCCATCGGCATTGTCTGATGTCAATGAAGCTTTTGTCTTGGCTGGGATATTCATGAGCACTGCCAACCACAAAAATGGTTGTTGTAATAAGAGGCTAAGTCTAAATACCAGATTATGGGTTCCCAGTTTGCCATATAGTGCTTAACAAATTTATTATACCAACTGTCATAAAAAAAATAAAGGAAAATATTTTATAAATATGTGAAAAACTTGCGTAAAACAAAACATTATGTTATGTATAACAAATTGAATGCACATTTTTATACCCAAATATGGACTTCTATGAGAGACCGAGCACAACAGTCAAACACTAAAACTTATTTTCCCAATTAGGAATGCAAGTAATTAACTTTAATTTGGCATGTCAATAAAAAATAGTGTGCTTTACTTTTTTCAACTATTTTTTTTTATTGTTGTAAAGCTGTAAATTTGAAAATTCATGGTTAACTAAAATGAAACTACAATGAAAACCATTAAGAATTTTAAAGAGCTTGCAGATACCTGTGATGAACCTTTACAGAAACATTTTATTATTAATCCTTTATTTATCCAGGTAAAAAATCTCATTGAGATTAAAAATCTCATTTCCAAGAGAGACCTGACATCATGGCAACAAAAGCCACATACCACATAGGTATATAACATTTAAAACAAATACAATATCCCATACAAACATGTGTAAAATATACAATAACAAATCAAACTAAGAGTACATCAAAAACAATCACAATGAGTAAAAGAGTTATTCTCTCGTTCCTGTAAGACAGACTTAAACTCTCCCAAGGTAACCAATTCTGATAATTTCAGTTCCTTCCGCAGATTATTCCAGGAAGCAGGGGCAGCATATTTAAAAGCCTTTTTCCCCAATTCTGTTCTGATTTTTGGGACAATCAATTGTATGATTTTGTTCAAACGAAGGCTGTATTGGTTGTGGTTTTTACACATATAAACACATAAATAAGATGGAACCAGCCCAAGGAGAGATTTATAGATAAAGATCAACCAATGGGAGAGTCTGCGAATATGCAAAGATGGACATTTAGCAGCAGCATACAAAGAACAATGATGTACACGATTTCCATAGCCAGTAATAAAACGTAAAGCACAATGGTACACAGTATCAGAAACATAAAAGATGTATTTGGTTATCACCATTACTATTAGTTTAGGGCGGCTTTGGCATAAACCTTACATTGAGTGGTGATCTAAGCACTGCACATGTATCAAAAGGCTATGAAAACAAATAAATGAATTTCCCAAAATGTCAAGCTATTGCTCTTACCATAATATACTACAGTTGTTTTAATGATACAATCTAAACACTGATTTAAACAGATATCTATGCCTGTGTGTTTGCTTGATAGGTCCAGAAAGAGGTCCACATGCAGTGGTTGAGGTGGCAGGAAAGGAGTTACGGGGTAGTGTCTCCCGCTCCGAAAGGCAGTCAGATGGACACGCCTTTCTAGAAGCCCGAGATGCTTTTTGCTTCTTCCTGCAGAACCTTTGCTGAGTATTTGCAGAGAATTGCTTCTGTGCACGTCATAATTTCTAACGAGCTGTACGTAGCACACACAATAACAGAGGTTGTCGAACATGCATCAGTGAAGCCGGGGCCTGGAAGTCATTTCAAACTGATTCACTGACTGTTCTCCTTCAGTCAGATTGAATGAACTGGGGTGAACTATCAAAAGGAGAATAATTCTGAAATCCCTTGACATTTCACACATCCTACAAGCGAGCCTCTGTCAGTTTCCATCTGCATTTCCCAAAGGGCACTGTGACAACTGAATTAGAATTTGAAACATCCCTGGAGGCATCAAAGGTCAAATTAAAGAATAATAATTTTGCATAGCCCATCAGTTAGCAAGTCATTAGGTGTTGTTGTTGTTTTTATTAACTAGGAAACTACATATTATGATTAGCATTTGCATTTTAGATGCTTAAATAAGAGCAAGTACATTGAAATCTGGTAGCCTGCAGGACACTACATATGAAGCTGTAGCCTACTGCCAGCTGACGCACACATGACTCACCTCTGTAATCACTCAATTCTTAATGGCTTTCTTATTGTTCATTGGTATTTAAATATTATTCGGCACATGGGGGAGAGGTATTGTACAAATTTTGATTATTTCTTTGCTTTTTTGCCTCTTGTATGTATTCACTCGGCCTGTTTTTATTTAAGAATGAAAACCTGCACACTCAACCTTAAATGGCACATCGTTGAAATGCACTACTCTGCAGACTTTGAAGGTTAAAGTTAATGCAGCATGTTGTGTTCTGCCGAGATGTTTAGTCAGCCAAAGTGAACAAATGATCTGCATCTCCACTGCCATCTGCTATCAGCACACAAATGTGAAAAAAGCCTTTTTTTTAATATGATATTTAACTTTACATGCTAATGTATTGTCGAGTGCTTTCACCTACATGGTAAAAGAATAATATTAATACTGCACAAATAAATATGCTTTTTGCATCTTGTTTAGTGGAAAAAAATCTCAAATGTAAGATAAAAACATAACAATTACCGCTACTTTTCATGCCTGCAATGTGTACATTTTATTTTATGTAAATTAGCTCTTATCCTTGAAGTGAATGTATAAACTGTGAGACTGCTCCTTCATCACCACCTCTTACGCTTCTCTTACTTACTGTTTCAACTGAGCCTCTTTCTGTGATCTTTTAAAACCTTGTACCATGTCTGACTTCTGTAGGTTACAGCATAAACACTTTTACTCTGTGTAATTATGACTTTGCAATTTCTTTCATAATGACAGAAAACATCTGCTGCCAGCTGCAAAATGTTTTAACACTTTTACGCCACTGCAAAGATAATGGGGTATCCACTTGCTTAAATACACGTTTTAGATCTGGTTTGCAGTGTAGCTTGTATGTTATGTCCTCACCTTTATTATAATATAGCCATTAAAATGTGTAGGAGTATGTGCTCAGTTCACATGCGGGTGGAGAAGTGAATCAACAGAAACCATTAGAAAAATTCTGACGGTTTTCAGTTGGGAGAAACAATTCAAACAATCATGACCCATTAGAGGTTTCACATTATCACAGGCTGCATTGTGTTTGCTTTGATGGTTTCCATTATTTCAACTACATACAAAAGATGCAGTCCTTTCTACGCAGTGGGAATGGGTGAGGAGGGTCCCAAATAATGTGCTTTGATCCAAACACAGTTACGGCATCCTTGAGCAATTTAATTAATTTATTTTCACTAGCTGGGACTACATCCTCACTTGGCAGCATTTCCTGTAGATAATGTATTGGGAATTAAGGCTGCAGTGTAGTAATGGCTTCACAGAAGACTTGACTGGGCAGAAGCCTATTGGCTAATGAAAGGTGAATGAACGGAAAAGGGGAGGGACGGTGGGACACAAAAAAAGAGAACATTGTAGCGCAGGCAGTGTTGGGAAGGTTACTTTTAAAATGTATTCCATTACAGAATACAGAATACATGCCCCAAAATGTATTCTGTAACGTATTCCGTTACGTTA